GATGTCGTTTTAGCTGAAGCATCGAAAACAACTCTCAGTTTAGTCGTAGTACTTGATTCCTTTTATACATGGCATGATGAGGCATGTAACACGTAGAAGTCAATAAAGAATCTCTCCCTCAGGCACTCCCTCCATATGTGTCAGCTCAAGGTATTCCCTCATGAAATCCTTATACTGTTCATATATCTGAGGCCTTTTTAGAAGTGAATTTTCTAACGATTGGAATCTACGCATAGTCTGGAATCTCCAAGCTGAGAAGGCAAAGAGTGAAATGGTAATTTCACAGTATATACCCCACTTTCCTCTCTCGTATATGTAGATTTGAAATAATCTTCACATGCTCTCTCCGATTTAGTAAAGATGTCAAACGTAGGTACAGCATCCAATTTCCAAAAGTCAGACAGCATCTGATTAATTTCCACTTGTATATTATTAACATAGATAGTAGGATTAATTTCTGTTGAATTATTCACACTACCTGAAATAATCCATCTAGTTCAGAACGAGAAGCTACCGTTTACCTTCTTCGCATTTAATTATTTCTCCCTTTCAAAGAGGTAAGGCAATATCTACGGCTAAAAGTATATCAACAGGCCCACTTTTTGTAAAATGTTGGATCTGCTAACATTAAATAAATATATTCCTCAACGTACTTCTTATCCAATGTAAAATGCGGCAAAGTTCCAATAATTCTATTGATGATAAATACTGGTGTTTTAAATGACACTTTCGCCGGAAAATGCGGAATGAAGTTTATTTCCGTAATCCCATTAGTTTTCGTATCCAAAGACCCTAAACATGAAATAAAAACTTTGGCATTTCTTCTTGCTAACCCTAGCCTTTGTACGCAATCTTCTGAAATCAGGCTTGCTTGACTGCCAGGGTCAAGGAGGGCTCTACACAACTGGTATTCACCCGATGAAAATCCTAACACTTTAATAACAACCGTACATAATAAAACTTCACTCTGAAAATTAAAGTCTGAAACACAAAGATTTAATTACTGGACTAGAACTTGCGATATTCTCCCCTGACCCAGCCGACTGAGCACGAGGATTCTGGCCCAGGGAAAAATGGCTTAGCCGTCACTGATAATTCATTAGAACTGTTCTTCACTTCCTTTACGTACCTTTGGTTCATTTTGAACTCTTTCGAAATGCAGTAGTGTGTGATGATTTTTAAAGCACTTTTTACATTTATGTGTACTTCTACACTCGAAAGCTTTATGGTTTGAAACCAAAAAATTAAAACAAACATTATTTCTCTTGACAAAATTAACGCGTTCCTGAACATTCAGATTTAAAAACTTATTACATTTAAAAACTGAATGACCGGCTTTACAATACGTACACTGCGCGCGAATCTCTGAAGCCAATGAAGTTAATTTGTCTTTTGTAACTTGAACACCTTGCGTTTTACCTGCTTGCAAGGTTCTGGCATGAGATTTCAAGAACTCTAGCAGATTATTAAGTGTTGGTATTTCCTCACTCTGTAATGTTCTTTCCCACCATCCTCTCGTCGAAGAATCCAATTTAAACTGTACAATTAACATTAAAATAGTATCCGCGAATTGCTCCACTTTGAATCCTAGATTTTCAAACGAACATACACACTCTCTTACAGTGTCTACTAACGCTAATATCTGACTAGGAATTTCAGCTTGTAAATTTGATAAATACAAGATTTTCTTTAATAACGATGAAAGTAATTCTCTCTTATGTGAAAATCTTTGACACAATAAATGCCACGCTATTTCGAAATTCCTGTCACAAATAGTTAAAGCTTGAACAATCCGCAAAAAAGCATCTCCTTTTAAAGAACCCTTTAAATATTGTAAGCTTTTGTGCACCTGATAAACGGTCATTATCCACTATCGCCGTTTTAAAAATAAATCAAAAAATGATAACCATTCTTCAGTACTGCCACTAAATACAGGAAGAGTTAGCTTAGGTAAGCGTATACTCGCTATTTCACAAGGTTTAGTTTCAACACTAATGTCTTTAACATTCTTAACTCTGGTTAGCATTAAAATTAACTCATCAGCAGTATCTTGTATGACCTGTTGTTCTTCTATAAATACATCAATATCTTTTTCTTCACACACTACAAATATGTTACTAAAAATATCCGAAAGTTCGATCATTAAGTCATTTAATCTAGATTTAAAAAGTTCCAACTGATCAACATCAGCAGAATCGTAAGTCACTGCAATTTTCTCTTTCAGTTTACTTAACTTAGCTTTAGCTACACGCTTTTTAGTCTTAAGCATTGTAAATTCCATTATCTAATAAGAAAGATAAAAAAAAAACCCACTGACTCACCAAATTTACTGTGACTCCGTAGCCGACGGACCATAAAATATGTACGTTCCGTTGTTTAAAAATAGTAGACTGTAAATTGACTTGATATTACTTCAGTATAGAACCCAAAAAACCTCAAACTCATAACGTTGACTGAAACTTCTTTATTTGACTTTCAAATAGTAAGTTAGTTGAGGAACGGCGAAGACCACACTGCCAACTCCGAACTCAGTAGCGGCTTACCAACACAAACTCAGAAGAACCTCTGCTTAGTTGAAACTCCAGTAATTCACAGCAACCTCAAAGCTCTAAACGCGAGCTTTAAAAACCTAACAAATTTGCGTCTGCGCTGCTCCTCGGTACAAAGAAAGAAATACAATTTGCATAACATCGAACAGTGGTTTTTGGAGACATTTTAGGCTTAAAGTTTGAAATGTAGACAAAAAAATTTAGATAGAAATATGGCAGCGTGGAGTTTCTCGCCAAAAATTTGGCGACTTGAGAGTGCATATCAGAGTAGTTCCAATGTTTTAATAAAATAAAAAGATGTGGTGTGTATTTAATTATGGCAAAGCACACTAGGTCTATCTGCCTAAGGGGAGGGATGCCTTCGTGAAGGACTTTCTAAGGGAAACTGGCTCGTATACATGTTACACATGGGGAAAACCACGAAAACACCCATGCAACCAGCCCGTTCCCAGGATTCAAACCTCGGACCGAACTACCAGAGTTCATCGACTTAACCGCTCAGCCGCTGGTGGGCCCTAAAATAAAAAGAAATACAGAAAGATGGATTTTATAAAACCCCAACTCTTCTAAGTATCCAAACACAATGAAATTCACTTACCTATTCCTCAAAAACTTGTTTCTAAAAACTGATTCTAATTACTGGAGAATTTATAATGTTCCCTATGAATGTGATTTAATATACAATAGTTATGATGAAATTTTGTAGCAACATATGAATTGCAAGTTTTATATATATATGTTTGTCTAAACAACAATAATATACTTTAGTATTTTTACATCTTTTTAACTTTTAAGGCATTTTACATTTCAAACTGAAATTCTAAGTTCATATTTCAAACTATTCAACAGTAAAAATTCAGTCTTATGAATTTACAACAGTACATATTATTTCCATTAAGAATGTAAATGAAACATTTATAATTTTTATAGTTGTAAATTTTGTATGAATTTTTATTTATTATTATTTTTTTATTATTATTATTATTATTTTTATTTTAATGTCTCCGTCTAATGGTAGAATCTTTTGGAGTTCAAATGTTTTCATTTCAGTGATAAATTTTTGGAAAAAGAGACACAAAATATATTTGCTCCCTGAAAAAGCATAAATGCATGAAAAGCTGTTCTGCAAAATTAGCGCTAGTCAAAGATTGGATTTTGAAAGCTGTTTATTTCCTTTTTTTAAGGTTCAGGTTTCAACCTTAAAATACGAAAAACTAGGAGGTTCATGTACAACCAACAGGTTTTTCACATTGTTGATGACAATATATTGAAAGAATTAAAAACTGACTGATATTCACTTTCCATTTTACAAGCAATACTTAGGTTACTGAATTATTTATAATTCTGATGTAAAATATATTAATATTTAATGGCATAGCCAAATTTTATGTTAGTACACATTTTATATAAGCTGTTTAACTGCTGTATCGGAAACAAAAAACTGTATCGGAAACAAAAAACTAAGTATGTAAGGATTCAGTCAAATTGAGAAATAGTAATTTTTCTTCAAGTTTGGCAAATTTCACTTAGAAAAATCTTGAGTATACAATGAAAGCTTTTAATCATCTGATAATTTTAAATAAAATCAAAATAAAATTAATAATACTTTACATACTACTGAATGGATAAACTTATTAATACCATATATACTAAACCAAAACTAAATACAAATATTAACTGATTGCACATTGGTTGAATTTTCATAAAATTTCTACAAATATCTATAGCAGATTAAGACAATTCATACCAAATAAAATTTCATGACAAAAATTATACTGAAAATCACTAGGGATAGGGAAACGGATTTTTTATAAATTAAGTTTCATTAATTCAATAAATTCCATTAATTACAATGAAACATTTTCAATACGAAGGCTTCTAAAAACTGGAACTTTTAGAAAAACCCAATGTAAAACTGGCAGCGTTGGAATCTACATTAAGAACTAGAGTAAACTCTTTATTCTTCTGTCAGCTTTTGGCATCTAAGCTTTGACTTCATTAGTAAGTTAACTTCATTAATTTATAAGAATTAACTAAGTTATAAACTCTGAAAACCAAAAATAAGAGGTAAAAAGTTAGGCTGTACACATAATATAAAAATAGGTTGCAAAACCGGGAGATTTGGCAGCTATGTTAAGGACGTACGTAACTTTCACTTGTCAGCAGCTTTGGCTATTTAAGATTTAACTTATTAATAAGTTAATTTCATTAATTTCTAGTAACTAACTAATTAAATCTATTCTTAAGATAGCTAATTCTATTCCTAAGTTATAAATGTTGAAAACCATAAATAAAAGATAGGTAGAATGTTACGCTGCACACATAATACAAAAACACATTAACAAAACTTTGTGAGATTTAATGAACAGAATATTTAGTATACAGAGAAGCAATGTTTCTCAAAATTTCAGCATTGAGTAATTAAATATGCAATCAATTTTGGAAAGTTACCTGATATATTTCAAGGTAAGATGCAGACACTAAATACTGTGTATTTTCTGATCGTGCTATTCTACTAAATATATGTTTAAATGAATTTGGAATAACTCCTTCATGTTCTGGATCTCCAATAACACCTAAAAATGTAAAGCAATACATACAGACATAAATAAACCCTCTATTCAACATAAAAAGTTCAATATCTAGTACGTTAAGTTTAAATCCTGCAGTAGGCATTTGGAATACATATACAATATACATCATACACCCTATACACTTTACATTGCTTGATTTGGCCATGCACTGTTCCCCATACAATTTCATGGAATGCCTTTTGCTGTCATTTGAGCAAAAAATTCCTAACAGGAAATGTGTAAGATCTGCAAGCATTTCAAATTGGAGTACAGGTTTCATCCATGCAATCTACTACATACAACAACAAATTACTGCAATTCTTTGTATTTCTTTTTTAATTAATTTAAAGTAATTAATTACACTTAATTCTCATCCATTTTATTATAATCTGGCTTTACTTTACACTATTTTTTTTTTTTTTTTTTTTTACAAAAAGGGAAAAAGGATTACATTCTGAGAGCAGCAACTGCTTAATGCTTCCCACATGCCCAGTAGACACTTATTTATAATAAAGCATGTGAAAGTTCCTGATTCTTAATTTCACTTCAGTACTAAATAAAACACCTCCATGCTAAAGAAACACGATCATTTATTAGCATAAAACTACATGGTTCACGATCATTTATTAGCATAAAACTACAATAATTTGGCACTGTAGCTGTGCTATTGCTTAGCTTGTATCTCCAACCAAAACATTTTATCAAACTTTATTGCTGATTTTGCACTTCTGAATATCATATAACCCTTATGCTAACCTGGCAAATCTATTATTTTTTTTTTTTTTTTTTGCTTTAATCACATGACCCATGGAAGATTTAAGAAATGATTCATGCAGCAATGTCTAAAAAAAACTTTATTCTGAATATCAGTAATTGAATACCAAAGAGCATGGTAACCCTTTATGCTGGCATTAAGCTAGGTGACAATTACACACATAAGCCAACTGTGTTGCGACTGGACTGCTAACTGAGCTGGCAAGGAGAAATTTCTAAAAATAGATTTTGTAAATGATACTCATAAGCCATTTAATGCTGTTTGATTTATGAATAACCGATTTCTTGTTCTGATAAGCCTAAAGGGCAATTTTCTGTTATGTGTGTACCATTTTTTTCAGCATATGGCAGGTGATGATTTATGGATGACTTAGCTTTTTGGTGCATAGCAGGCTACCACCTGCCAAACAGTGTATGTGCATTTACCATCTATCAACAATTCTTAGAGCTAGAAATTGATTATTACTAAAAAAATGTGACAAAATGCATGGTAGGTACATAATGGAAAAGTACTGCATTAACTTACTAAGCTTGACAATGATAGTTGCAAATGTGAAGGTTCTGCAAACAAAAAGCAAAATTTTCGAATTAATGGAATTCGTGAAGAAATGTGGAGAAGTAGTAATAAATGATGATGATGATGTAACAGAAGTATTCCATTGTAATGACAATGCCTCAACAAGCCGTCAACTAATGGACGGTGAAATCTGTGCTTTGTTTGCAAATCCAAAAAATTTCACTACCAATAGTGAAGAAAGTAACAGAGATGTGGTTAGGAACAAAAAATTTCAATTGACATTTTAGTGGGATATTTTGACATGGTAATTTCAAAACCTGAACTGTGTAACTGAACATGAAATTATGTCTATTTATAAAATTAAACAGAAAGTATTAGCAGAAAAAAAAATTGAAGCAACTCAAAACAGCTTACATCAAAAAATATGTTTAATAAAACAAGCATATTTTTTAATTGGATTCCCTATAGGTCATAAATGCTTCATTATTTCATAAACAACTATTTCAGACTTAATTTTATAATTTCTACATGTCAGTTTTTGTTGATTTAAACTGGTGACCTGAAATCTGGGAAATTCTCAAATCTGGAGTTACCAAAGTCCTGGCAAGTCCAGATCTTGAAATTTGCACTGTATTACAAATTTTTAGGAAAATGGCCACTTTTTCAGCTATTTTCCTGCCTACTGATCCATTCAGTAAATCCCCCCCCCAAATAAGCTAGTATTCACTGCTTGAGGCGTTTGCCGTGGGGATAAGGGTCAAATCCACTGGTTATTTCATTCCTATATCACATTTTATCTAAATGAACCTCAGAAAGTTAAATAATATTGCAAGCCCCAAAACAAGGGGAGATATTATATCAAAATATGCATGGATTAATATGCAATTAAGGCATGGATTAATATGCTAGACTATTAGTACATGAACAACCATACAAATTGCATTCTTCCATTCATTAGAGTGATATACAGCACTTTTATTCTGCAATAACTAATGCTATTAAGGAAAGGGGAAATAAAATTTTTAGCTTCACAAATATAATACAAAACATTTTAAAATTTTAACATAAGAAAACATTAACTTTATTTACAAGTGAAATAAGTAATCATGATTTTCAGTCTCAAAACAATATGCATATAGTCATCATCAATTTCTCATCAATGCAACTATTTACAAAATTCTTTTGATATGCTTACTCCAGCATTAAGCACTAAATAATACAGAATAACAAAGTCACAACTTATTAATTTATTTACAATAAAAAAAGGAAGCAAATAATAAAGTTGAAGTTTTCAATATCACAAATGGCATTTTTTTAAATACATATAAATTCTCAAACGAAATTTTGGCAATATAAGACAATGCAATTACATGAAATGGCAAATTAGCAAAGTAAATTTGCAATTTAACTCAAGATAAAACTAATGTATGCCAAGGATACTTACAATTAAAAAGCACATTTACAAAATAAACTGAGACAGTGGAATGATTAAGCACAAATCTGTAAGCCAGCACTAAATATCGACTAGAAATTAATTATGTTTCTGTAATACATGATGATACCACACAGCTAATTAAAGACTCACTAATATACTTTAAATAACTTTTTAAAAAATCTTATTTTGATGAATCTTTTATTTCAAAGATTCAACAAAGTGAAAAGATGTTAGAACTATAAACTTAATTTTCAGTTACTGTAGCATAATATAATTGCTTTCATTCTGTTATGAAAAAAAATCATAATAACAGTGAAGATTCTGTAGATTGGAAATCCGTTGAATCACCCAACCTTGAATCATTTGTTAATAGAAATGTCTGTTCAAAACATAATACATTTAGATTTTACATTAAAATTGACACATCATATAATAAAACAATCATCAAGTTACAAATAATTTCCCAAGCTAATCAAGAAATTCAAGAGACACATAAACTACATACAGTTATAAACTTTAAAAACACATAACTTATCATTTGCATTTTAAAAAAATTTGATGTTATGTTAAAATTTTTCTATATTACCCTCCATAGTATATGTTTTTCCAGCACCAGTTTGACCATAGGCTATGATTGTACCATTGAAACCGTCGATAACAGAATCCACTAATGGTCGAAACACATCATCATATAAATCAGCTTGAGCGCTACATAAATAAGAAATAAAGTTTCTTCCAGGATTTGAAAAAAATCATTTAATTATGAAACTGCTTCTATAATAAACTTTGAAGGATTAACCGTTTCTTAATATGTTTCATTAAAAGTGTATATGGAAAAACAGCACTATGTTTACATTATACATATCAGTGGAATGTTACAATATTACACTCTGATTTTTTATTTCTATTAAATGCAGACAAAAAATATTACATAGGCCAAGGCTCGGATCATATGCTCTAGTTGCAAAGCTTAGGAAATTACCTGAGATTTCCTTTAAATTCCCACTTTTTACTATTTTCTACTAACTAACTTCCATAAACACAGCTGATGAACCAGCAATTACTGTTCACTTACGCATCGAAATAAACCACTACCAACATATTACTGATAAATATATTCTAACATAAATATCAATAAACTTTAAAGTAACATTTATATTTGAAAATAAGTTTAGATCTCGAATAAAACATCACTCATGTAAACAGCAAACATTCTTTCATAAGCTAGTATATGTGCAGATTTTTAACTCATTCTAAAAGTGTTGTGTTGCCACTTCCAAAAAACAAAACTAACCATAATTATTAGTGGCCAAAAAACATTAAGTAAATAAGATATATCCAAAATACACATAAAATATAAAATTCATGTCATCTAAATTCCAACATTTATATTATATTTTTAAAAAGCCAAGTAGCACGACAACGTCATAACAACGTTGCAAACTGGTCGCGAGTCATGTTGCAAAAACGTTGTAATATATCGTCTTTAAGACGCCCAGATGTCAGCAAATCTCCACACTTTTGCAACCATTGCAAAGACGTCTTTATTATGATCGAGTTGTTTACAGATGAGGTTTTTGTCGCATAGATGTTGTTATTGCATCTTTCGCATTTTATATTTTGGTTGCAAAAGCATTGTATCATGATGTCTTCACAATGCCTTAATGTTCACAAAATTCCACCTTTTTGCAACAGTTGAGAATTTTGTTTGGTTTATTTAAGTATGGCAAAGCCCACTAGGCATCCCTAAGGGGAGGGATGCAAGGGAAACTGCTTCGTATACACGCTGCACATAGGAAGAATCACGAAAACGCCCATGCAGGCAGCTCGTTCGCGGGATTCGAACCTCTGACCGAACTACCAGAGTTCAGCGACTTTACCGCTCGGCCGCTGGTGGGCCTGCAACAGATGTGAAAATGTCGTTATTATGTCTTTGCATTACATACTGATTTATGCAGAAAAATAAGCTTAATAATTAATATATTTTTCTTCTTTTTTAAAATTTTGTATTCCTTGTATTTATCTAAAGTTCAAATATTTTATCATTTCCTGAAAACCAGAAGATAATACAATTTTTTCTCTTTAGAGTAAATATGAATAATTCATAATAGCCTTAATTATTTTCAGTACGTCACACTATATTTTTTAAATAACTTAAATTCTAAGTTACAATTATTTAAGATTTAATCATTTTTTTCCCTCAATCCTTTAGTATGTGAGATTAATTATGAACACGGTTATTACAATTATATAACAATAGTAGTAGGCTTTAAGTAAGTAAAAAAAAAAACTCAATCAGACAGAAATAAACGTAAAGCTATATATGTGGGTTAAAAAAAAAAAAAAAAAAAAAAAAAAAGAGCGTTTTTGATTTTAAAAGCATTATCACATTTACTTCTGTTAAATCTCAGAGATAATGAAAATTGCCGCTGTGATGATAAATTAGGAAGCGTAAGGTAACATAATCAGTATTTTACATGAACTCAAGTATAAATTTATTCATGTTTCATAGTAAAACATATACTTGTATATCTCCAAGATATGCAAATGAAGGACAGTATACAGTAGTTAATAAATGTGATCAAAAATATTTCATACAAAAGTATACCCAAATCTAATAACCAACAAAAAACTTCCCATATTCATATCTAAAATGACATAATAGCCTAACAAACAACATACATGACAGCACTATTTAAGCAAAAACATGAACTAGCAGTGCTTGAAAGTATAAATAGCCGAAGGAAGGTTAAAGAACTAAAATTTCCAATTAATAAAAAATTATTTGTGTTTTTAAAACAGGGTTGCCATTCAAACAGGAGAATGAAATTCCCTGACTTTTCCAGGTTTTCCAGGTGTGTTTCAAGAAAATTCCAGTCAATCCGCGTAATGTACGTTGGCTGTGCTAAGAGGTAAATTAATTATGGTATTACTTGTATTGTGTAGCAAATTCACTTAATTATTCAATAAATCCCAGAGGACATTTATTCTTAATTATTCTTGGTATACTTTGTTTGATAATTTTGTTTAGTTTCCCATTTAAGAAACTTAATAAAATTTAAGATAATATATTGGATAACAAATGTATGTTTTATTTAATTATTACTCATGATCATCACCAGTTAGTTCAACACGAGGCTAATCCGGTCCTTATAATCACAACGCAATGCTAAATAGTTAGGTTAGATTTTAGGTAATTTAATTTGCGTGAGGTATGTTCTTTAAAAGGCACCTTAAGACTTGAAAAACACAAATATAATTATAATAGTTGTTGTTTTCTCCACTGAAGATTGAGATTAGAATCTTCCCAATCTGGAATAAAATAAGACTTTTTTTGCAGACATTCTGCAGCTAAACGAAAGAAAGAAATCTATTTTAATAAATTGAAGTATTTTATATTTTTTGCAGCATACATAAGAAAAAATGTGTGCATTAATTTCGTGATGGTATGTCATCATACTGCAGAATTAATTTCAGGATTATGCCAGAGAAAAATTTCCTGAAATTGGAAATATTATTTACTAATAATAAATAATTTAGAGGGAAGAAGGAACATTAAATATTATGAATAACATAAAAATAATTACTTAAAAAATTTGAATTATAATAATCAACGATATTTTAGCGAATACAGTTATATTACATGGCTAGCCTAGATGACTGATTACTATTTTTTTATTTTACTGCAAAATGGCAAGGTATTTATTAAAAAGAAAAAAAAAAAGGGTTTAAAAAGATTTTGCGGTAAAATTCTAGTATACGGTAAGGGTTTGGCACGATTTTGAAAATTGTCGCAAGACCAAAATAACCCATTTACTGCGCATCAAGATGTCGCCAAATTCTATTATTATTCTAACCAAAGAACGTATGTAAAGAAGAAAAGGTTCCATACAAGTAAAATGCTATTACGCCGCTAGAATGCGGAGGGAAAATTTGCCAAGGGATTTGGCGACGGAACCTGGCGGTCAGAATTTCCCTCTCCGCGATGTCTACAGGAAATTGAGAAACACGTGTTAAGAAGAAACGCTCTTTGAGAAAAAGAAAACTACGAAAATCCGTTTTTAAATTATTGCGAAAAATCCATTTTCGCAATAATTTTAGAAACGGATTTTAGTAGTTTTTTTTTTTTTTCTTTCTCTGAAAATAACTAATCCATGAATTAATTTACTTGCGCCAAAAAATATTTTCTTTTCCTTTAGAGTTTAACCACTTGCACTAAGACTAAACTTCACGGTTGTGGTGCCGTGCGCTACAATATAACAAGCGGTAAAGTGTCTCATTTACGCCACTCCGCATCTGCGAGTGCAATCCAGAGCTGTAACTCGAGAAATAAACAATCTCGTTGTTAGGCAACGTGTGCACTATGTTATTTTCATTTTTGCGATAAATGCTTATCGACGTGGTGTTCACGTCGCTCGCGGTTTGAGACAAAAGCATCTTGACGTGCGTGGCACGTCTTTTTAGCGCAAGTGGTTAAAGAAAGTTTAAACGATATTCATTTTATGAACTCTTGATAACGTGACCTTCGAACTTCGACACCGGTTTTGAGCTTTGGTAACAGATATATCAGACATGCACAGCTGTTTCCCTCTATGATGGAACGGAGCCACAGCCACGTCTGTTGCAGAGAGGTTTTCCTTCTTTACAATACATATTCTTTGATTCTAACCTCCATAGTACCATATACTAGGATTAAACCCATTTTGTTTTATACGAGAACAGGTACTTTCTTTAGTTCATGCACTGCACATGCGATTCTCGAGAATACTGGAAACCAAAAGTTGCGGGAAAGTTGCTTTGTTTTTCTAAAAGACAATCAAATTGGAGCTGCGAAAATTGGCTCTATGCCAGCTACCAGAATGACACTCACGTGATACACAATTCGGCAAAAAAGTTACCTCTTCCGACGTCGGCGCAAAAATCGCTTTTTTTGGCGGGATCGCTGTATGAACTTCCCTGACTTTTCCCGGTTCTCCCGGTTTTCCAGGTAGCGTGGCAACCCTGTTAAAATAGAGAGCAATTAAAAGTGCAATTGGCATGCGGGTATACTTACACGTGCTTACACGTGCATACCACAAACTTACACGTGCACCTGGCATTTTTTCGTGAATTGTGCGGAAATATGGTTATTCAGGAAAATCGCAGTAAATCGAAAACTACTTCATTTTTATGAACGAAACTTTTTTATTTTACACTTAAATATATACTGTATGATTATTTAATAAAAAAAAACAATATTTTTATGAAATCACAAAAATAAACGATTTTAAAAATTTTACAATGTATTCAAAAATATTTTTTCATAACAAGTACTTGTGCAGACATCAGTTGACCAATAATCCTCTCAGGCGTCTTTACAAACTTGTCCCATGAAAATAATAAGCCCCAAAAATTTCTTCATCTCCGGAATCGTAATATCTCTCCATTTCATGCTTTTGGGAGATATTTTGAATTGATTCATATTTTGATAATAATACCTGCTTGATTCCGTGACTAAATATGCAAAAAAAGTCATTGCCTATAAATAACTTTAGTGCATCAGCTGTGGATTCAGGAACAATAGCCATGTTAGTTATCACAGGATGACCCAAAAACTCTCAAGGTCTGGAGGATTGTCAATCGATGACCATTCATTTGCTTCTTCATCAGAAGTTGTTTCAGAACTACTAGAAATTCTACTTTGGACGAACACTCGAGAACGTGGAATA